CCTTTTTTTAATATCTAATATTTTTACATGTTGCTAGTGAGAGAACCTGTTGTTAAAATATTTGAATCCCACCACTGCATGTCACCAATAAAAATGTATATCATATTTCACTGCCTTTTTCTTTGAGGCTTGGTTGAGTGTATATTAGAGCAAAGTCACATTAGGTTATGTGCTGTGTCCACCGCGAGGTACTGAACATCGGATTTTAGCGCTGTAAATTCGTAAACTTAGTGCTGACCCATTGTTACCTGTTAGTGTATTACTCTGGATGTTAATGCCAATAAAATTGATAGAATCAATGATACATTTTTTATGGTTAATTAGTGCCTATTTAAATAGTGTGTATCCCATAACACCTCTTCTAGGAAAAAGTTGGACAGCTCTAATTCGCGATGATTGAGGAAAAAAAAAGAAACTAAGGAAGAAGTTTTGCACTTCCTAGAAACTAAGGAAGAAGTTTTGTACTTCCTAGAAACTAAGGAAGAAGTTTTGTACTTCCTAGAAACTAAGGAAGAAGTTTGTACTTCCTAGAAACTAAGGAAGAAGTTTTGCACTTCCTAGAAACTAAGGAAAAAGGTTTGTATTTCGTAGAAACTAAGGAAGAAGTTTTGCACTTCCTAAAAACTTAGGGAGAAGTTTTGCACTTCCTAGAAACTAAGGAAGAAGCTTTGAACTTCCTATTTTTCTGAGGAATAACTAAATTTAACTTGACTTCGGGCATTATTACGATAATCGATTTTACTCCATTACAGCGAATAATAATACATTATAAGCGTAGCGTAACGCAGCTTCTTCACTGATGTATAAGCATAAGTTATAACATACACACACAAAATACAGCTTAGATCCCGTGAAGAAGAAGATGGGAGGACAACTTACGTGTAGTCAGCCATATAAGGTGCACCAATGATGCCTGCTGCTGATGATACAGCCACAATGTGACCTTTCTTACGTTCCAACATCTTTGGTAAGAACTGCTGTATAGTCTAGTGAAAAACAATATATATATATATCTTGAACGAGTATACAAAACCAACAAAGATTAAGATAGACGCAAGTTTGGTTTTTCACTAAAGTTTACCATATTACTTTGAAAAAGGAATATTATTTTACATATCAACTTAGGCCTTATCTCCTGTTGTTGTTGTTTTTCTTTGTTTTAGGGTATGCATTGCATTTCTTTTAATTTAAACTTCATACTGTTGTTCACCACCATGCTTTTCCCTTTGTTGTTATTATATTTTTACACATCATATTCCTTGTTTAAAATTATGTTTTTTGTTTTTTTATCTTTACTAAAACTTGCGGTAAAAAAGGTCAAGTCAGACTGAACATACAATGTATCACTTCGAGAAGACCACTCCTGTTTCTCGCCTGAGGCTACTGGTGACAGGGGGAACTCCCATTTAAATACACTGTCTCAAACTGGAATGTGTACGTCATCACCTGTTCCTTTGGTACACGAACATAAATATGACGTTTTTATTTTTTATCGCTTTGATTCTGACTCTTTGATTTCTTCAATGTAGGAGAGATATTTTATTCCTCATGTGTACAGTATATTCGTAGTTTAAATTGGAATGTTGTTCTATAACCTAAGTCATGCATTCACTGACGTACCCAGTGTTTTGTCCTATAACCCAAGTCATACATCCACTAATCTACTCATTGTTTATCATATAACCCAAGTCATACATCCACTAATCTACTCATTGTTTATCATATAACCCAAGTCATGCATTCACTAACGTATCCAGTGTTTTGTCCTATAACCCAAGTCATGCATTCACTAATCTACTCATTGTTTATCATATAACTCAAGTCATACATCCACAAATCTACTCATTGTTTATCATATAACCCAAGTCATGAATTCACTATCTACTCAGTGTTTTGTCATATAACCCAAATCATGCATTCACTAACATACCCAGTGTTTTGTCCTATAACCCAAGTCATGTATTCACTAACGTACTCAGTGTTTTGTCTTATAACCCAAGTCATGCATTCACTATCTACTCAGTGTTTTGTCTTATAACCCAAGTCATACATCCACTAATCTACTCATTGTTTATCATATAACCCAAGTCATACATCCACTAATCTACTCATTGTTTATCATATAACCCAAGTCATACATCCACTAATCTACTCATTGTTTATCATATAACCCAAGTCATGCATCCACTAATCTACTCATTGTTTATCATATAACCCAAGTCATACATCCACTAATCTACTCATTGTTTATCATATAACCCAAGTCATACATCCACTAATCTACTCATTGTTT